ACATTCCCACCAACAGTGTATAAGTGTTCCAGTCTCTCCACAACCTCTCTAGCATTTGTTATTTTGTGTTTTTTGGATTAATGCTAGCCTTGTTGTGGTGAGATGGTATCTCACTGTAGTTTTGATCTGCATTTCTCTAATGGCTAATGATCGTGAGCATTTCTTCATGGGTCTATTAGTTGCCTGAAAATCTTTGGTGAAGTGCCTGTTCATGTCTTTTGCCCATTTCTTAATTGGGTTATTTGTCTTTTTGCTGTTGAGGTTTGGCAGCATCTTATAGATTTTAGAGATTAAACGCTGATCGGATTTGTTGTACTGAAAATTTTTTTCCCAGTCTGTAGACTGGCTTTTTACTCTTGGTGAAGTCTGCTGATGAGCACAAGTGTTTGATTTTTAGGAGCTCCCATTCATCTAGTCTCTCTTCTGGTGCTTGTGCGTTCTTACTTATGGTTCGTATTGTCTTCATGCCATATATTAGGGCTCTTAGCGTTGTCTCTATTTTTTCTTCTACGATCTTTATCGTTTTCAATTTTATATTTAAGTCTTTGACCAATTTTGAGTTAGTTTTGTACATGGTTTGAGATATGGGTCTTGTTTCAGTTTTTTGCAAATAGATAACCAATTACGCCAGCACCAATTGTTAAACAGACTTGTCTTTTTCCCAATTAATGGACTTTCAGCCTTTGTCAAATATTAGCTGCTCATAGGTGGATGAGTTTATATCTGGATTCCCAACTCTGTTCCATCGGTCTATGTATCTCTGGTTGTACCAGTACCAGGCTGTCTTGACTACCGTGGCAGTATAATAGATCCTAAAATCAGGTAGTGTAAGGCCTCCCGCTTTGTTCTTCTTCTTGAGTAATGCTTTATTTTTTCGGGGCCTCTTCCCTTTCCATATGAAGTTGGTGATTTGTTTCTCCATCTCATTAAAAAACGCTGGAGGAATTTGTACCGGGGTTGCATTGTATCTATAGATTGCTTTGGGTAGAATTGACATTTTCACTATGTTGAGTCTACTTATCCATAAGCAAGATATATTTTTCCATTTATGCAGGTCTCTTTTACTTTCTTGCAGTACTGTCTTGTAGTTTTCTCTGTAAAGATCTTTTACATCTCTGTTTAGATTTATTCCTAAGTATTTTATCTTACTGGGGGCTACTGTACATGGTATTGATTTGGTGATTTCCACTTCAAGCTTCTATTTATTGGCGTAAGGGAATCCAATTCATTTTTGTATGTTTATCTTGTGTCCTGAAACTTTGCTGAAATCTTCTATTAGTTCCAGTAGTTTTCTTGTGGATTTCTTGGGGTTTTCTGTGCATAAGATCATATCATCTGCGAATAGAGATACTTTGACTTCTTCCCTACCTATTTGGATGCTTTATTTCTTCTTCTAGCCTAACTGCTCTGGTTAGGACCTCCAGCACAATGTTGAATAATAGTGGTGATAAAGGGCATCCTTGTCTGGTTCCTGTTCTCAAGGGGAATGCTTTCAAAGTCTCTCCATTTAGGATGATGGTGGCTGTTGGTTTTGTATAAAT